ATGAATTTGTTAAATTTGCTAATGGAAGCTTTCACTTTGAAAGTCATGATATTTTAAACTCATTAGTGAAACTATTTTGAAGAAATGAGAAAAGTAGTAATTAGATACAGAGAATAAACTTAAAGTGCCCACAATATTTTAAAGAAGCTTTAGACATTTTAAATCTATTTAGTAGCTAATTTATTTTCTGGACATTTTATGAACTGCTGCCTTTCAGAATTTTAGAAATCTTGACTTAGATTGGTGGGCTCCAACTTCAGATATCAGTCCCTTTTTTAAAAACAAATTCAATATAGTCTATTTTTTTGTTGGAAATTTTTGGTCACATGTCTTAACAGGTCAGCAAAGCAAAAGCTATCTATAGATGACAAAACTTGAAATGGCCATGATATATATGAAATTCCTAAGCCAATGTAAAGCCTACCAAGTTAATTAATTAGAAGTCAGAAGAATGTTCGGCAAAAAGGAAATATCTTAAAATACCATGTGTAAGAATTTCAAATATAATATCAAACCTAAGTGCTGGAATACACAGCTGCCACCCAGCAGACAGGTTAAGCACTATGTCAGCAGGTGCCCCCAGTAGTCCCATCCCTGACAATGGCTCCCCTAGATGGTCATGTGGGAGCCCAGTAGAAAGGAATATAAAATCCAGTCTTTTGATGAGGAGACCCTGCAGTTGCTGGTGACAGCATTCAAAGTTCCAGGCATGTGGACTTGGAGAAGATGGCCAACACGATCCTGGCCAGTCCCTGCAAGGGTGTCTTCAGCAAGGAAGCAGGACAGTTGTGCGACGCCATCATCCAGGCAGAAAGCAAGCAAGCTGGCCAGTATCGTTTCCAGCGTGGACTCCTGGATAAGCTGCAGCAGGAGGACCAGGCCCGGAGCAGCTGCCCACTGGCCTCTTGCATGGCTGGAGCTGCTATGTCACCTTCATCTGCATTAATTTTGACTGCCTGAGGGTGAACAACATGTCCTTGATGGCCCTGGTGAACCCCGTCCATGACTGCCTCTTTCCGCTGAGCAAGGAGGAGAAGGTGTCTGGTGCTGCGACTGCGTTGGGTCAGGGAACAGCTGGAGAAGATGAACGTGCAAACCTTCTGATCCTGGATGGCTTCCTGCTCCCCAGGGGTCTCAGATCCCCGGCCCAGCTGCTGCTGCTGGAGACCACCCAGCTGCCCAGAGAGGTCACTGACCAGACCTCAAGGGACAGGTTTTGCACCAACACAACCAGTTGTCTTCCACCCACCTCCCAGACTGGCCCAGGCCTCCCCAGACTTTTCCAGGCTTGCAACACCTCCCCATGTGTTGCCTACTCACACTACAGTCCTTCCCTAAGCGCACCCCCCACCCCCTTCCCAGTCTCAGGGGTCTGGAAGAAAACCAAGAGGTCAGGTCCCCCAGGCTGGACCTACTGATGGTCTTCCCTGCCCCACCAGAGGCCCACCAGACAGGGATTCCCACCACCATCCACCTGGGCCAGGTAGAGAGGGCAACTCCGGACCATCACAGCACGGTGGAATGGCTAGTAGAGCAGCTACCTTGGTGCCTCAGTTTCCCCATCTGTAAAGCTGGCGTCCATCACCATAGGTATCGGGATGCTTTGAGTTATCAAAGGCAGAGTCCCAGCTGCTTTGGTGGAGGAAAATGTGATAGCTTCCAACTTTGGAAACCCAAAGGGGCAGGTTTACTCTGACCCTTTAGGGTTTGAATAGACTCACAGTGGCGGGACAGCACATGGCCACAGCACAGGCGTGCTCCTGGGAGGAAAGACCGCGTCAGGCGGAGGCATCCCCACCTAAGGGACGCACTCCGCGCGGCCGAAGCTGTTCGGCCTCCGGGCGCCAGGCGGCGCTGTGGGGAGGAAGCCACTTCCGGCCGTCTCTTCCCTTCCTCCAGCGGCCGGCGCCGAAATTCCTGTTTTCGTTGGCCGCGCTGGGATGGCTGCCGCTGCCGCTGCCGCTGTAGCTGCTGTTGCTGCCTCCCCTTAGTGCGGGTCCTCGCCGAGCGTGCCGACGGCAGTGCAGCCTGCTGCCCCTTTGTCCCGTCCTCCGGCGCGCTGTCCCCAAGCGTCGGCTCTTCCGCACCGGGCGGCATGGGCCGGGAGTCACGGTGAGGCGAAGCGCCGAGCGAGCCGAGTGGAGCAGGAGGCGGGAGTTGAGGTGGTCGTGGGTCCGGGCCTGGGCCGGCGCGACCCCACGTGCGGCCGGCGCGGCCCCACGACTCCCGGAGGGGCTCCGGCCTAGGCTGTGGGCAGGGCTGAACTGGAGCGGGCGGTGGGCGCAGGACGCCCCCTGCACAGCTGCCGGCCAGTTGGAGCCCGTGTGCGAAACAGCCCTCCCGGGGCAGCACAGATTGACCACTTCACACCTGCCACTTCCCCGCAGCCCCCCCGTGCCCATCTTCGTTGGGAGACCTCCGCGCTGCTTCGCATTGGCAGCATTTCCTTGGCGCCCATCACTCTGTGATGAGTTCTTTGTGGGGGTGCTGTATTGTCCGAGCCCGCATGGCTAGGCTATTAACCGGTCCACCGTAAATAAGTGCTTGTCGCATGGGCATTTATTTCACAGATCGGTTTCTTACTTCTGTTCTCCCCCTGGGAGGCCTTGTTGGAGCTGTGAGATCTCTTCAGAAGTTTGGGTAACTGGTTCGGGACCGGGACGACTGTGTGCACTGCGTTTTAGCAGAGAC